ATATATATATACATATATATATACACATACACACATATACACACACACACACACACACACACATATATATATAGTGTATGCATGGAGCTTGTGTATGACTGTGGGGGGGATGCAGACAAAGCTGAAGTGTGAGGCCGGAGCAGCAGCACTGCAAGTGTTAGCCGGGAGACTGTTGTACATTCAATTTTGTGCCAGAGAAATGCTGAAAAACCCCCTGTGAGGGAAACCCATGAACTTTGTTTTATTAAAAAGTGGCAAGAAAAGCCCTTAAGAAAGAAAGATGACGTGAGTGGCTGGGTTCTTAATGTGGATGTAAACCCTTACATATACCCAGTGAAGTGACTGGCCTCAGGTGATACACAGATTAAACTAATGCTCCTACATAAGTTATACCTGTTTATCTGCTACTGTCCCTTCTCTAAATCCACTCAAGTTCAGAATTTATAGATCTTGTCTGAGCTTCCAGGAGCAGAGGCCAGGGGAACTGAAGTTACACTCTGCAGAGCTCAGTGAGAGCTGATTGGAGGGGAGGGAAGAAAAGGGACCCCCCCCCTTCACACAGCGCACAGGAATAGAGCAAAGGCTGACAATCTGCTGGAGGTCCCTGCCCTGTCACCATTTTACTCTTGTGATTCATGCTGATAGTAGAGGAACAAGACAGCAGAGAGAAAGGACATTGACAAGCATGCACTATAGAGGGATATACTTTGTTCATATTTCACGCCTGAGGTTTCAATGTCTGTGAAATTTATGTGCAATGTAGAAGCCAGTAATATTAACATGATCATGTTTGCGTCACTTTGCTTTTTTTGTCATGCCAAAATTGACCTGAGGCTTTGTTTGACTGGTTTTACAGCTCCCCAAATGCTTCCATTGATGTCAATGTAAATGCGCTGCAAACGCGCCACAAACACCTCTATGGCATTTACAGCACGTTTGAGATGGGTTCAGAAAAAAGTTACAAGCTGAGATGATAGTACAAGAACTGCATATAATACAAATCAAACACAGAGGAGGCATCTAAAAAGCATTATTTAACACGGTGCAAATGCATTCAAAATGTTCCATAAATGTGTCTTAATGCAACAGGCGAATTAATAGGTGTTCAAAGCACATCTAAATGAGGCTGAAAGCTCTACCATTTGAAGATGGTTATCACTATAATGTATATATATACATATATATATATATATAAAAATGTTAGACATGGATAAACAGCATTGAAAACACTTAAACTAAAAAAAACTGTTTACACTTGATAAATGTTGCGAAAATTACACTGGGGTAGACAGAATAGTATAAAACTTGTAGACCACTCAAACACTTACAGATTTCTTTTCGTTCAGCTCACAATTGGCATTTAAAAAAAAAAAAAAAAAAAGGGGTCAGAAAAGTAAAGATCTAGTGTAAAGCTAGCCATACACACAGATTTGTCTTGTTTGCCCATGGGCTGAACAAGAGAAAATCAATATATTTTTTGCTTGTCTGTGAGAAGGGCCACATGTTTAGCCATGGTATGAAGTTTTGGGAGGCTGTTAAACTTCAAATAGTTTGCCCTTCTTTCTAGCAGTGAAAGTGTCTCCTAAGATATAATAAACCTAAAAAAGTCAAGGTACATCAATAATTAGAAGCCAAATTGGAATATGCCAGGAAACTACACTCAGGGCTAAACTATTCAAAAATGTATGACAAAATAAAAAGCTGTTAACAGGATTATCTTGACTAGCTCCAACCCTCCACATAAAATGAACCATAGCCCAGTTAGGCAAGCCATAGATTATACAATTTCCTTTCCTTCCACCATGGGTGGAAGGAAAGAAAATTGCTAGTTTTCCCAAAAAACACAGTGTTGATGGGGGAAATCCCTCCTGCAGGGCTATTGAGTTCTGCAGGTGACGAGCCTTTCCTGCTGGCAGAACACAATGATTACTGCTGGCTGCTCTAGCCACCAGCAGTAATCACATGCAAGAAATCCGACAGGTTGGTTGTAAGTTGATCGATGGCTTTGGATGTAGCTCATTTTTCAAGCCCTATTAGCGCTATCAAATATTACCCAAGCAGAAAGAATTCTCAATGAACACCTGGGGTGTATTTATAAAAAAGTGAATGCGACTTTTCACTGAACGTTCACTTGTAGTGAATCAATCCCTGTCATTTAAAACAAATGCACCTGGAAGATTCCCTTGCAGTGAATTCCTGGAGAGTGCCAGATTTCACTGCTTTATAAACATGGCCCTTGGACCTCCTTTCCAAGAACACCAGAACAGGAAAGTGCGAGGAGAGATCCCCCTACTGGGAAAAAGGTAAGTAACTGGGACAGACTGGGAAAAAGAAAAACACAGGAGTTGAGCTTTAATAAGGAATTCATGAGGTAGCAGACAATTTCAAGTGCCAAGAAATTATCCTCCATTGACATGTTTAAAAGAAAAAAAAAAAAAAGTAAAAACATAAAAATAAGGTACCTGCTGTAAGCTTTTATTAGGCATTGTGGCCTGATCTGCTCTTGGGATCTGTTCCACCCTACTCCATGCCTGCTTTGAACAACTGAACATGAGCTGTAAATAATTGTATGACTTTACACTAACATGCTTCCCAACTGTGATGGAACCAGTCATACTGTGATTAGCAACCACTGCACAAGGTATACTTCCTAAATACTGGTTTGCTGTGCACAGATCTGTATAATTAATGAATGCTGACCTACTTATCCATAACTGTGCTAACCCTCATATTCTATAAACGAACATAGTGATGTGATCATTTAACCAGGTCAAGAATTTCCGGGCAATTCAATTTTAAAGTGGGCTTATCAGTAATTGTACAAGCGTGCATAAATAAATTCTTCACATATCACAATGTACAGCAAATGTATATATTAAAAAGATTACACAGTTTATGTTTACAAAACAGCAGTCCTTGGGTTCAAGTCAAGAGGTTGCGCTCATTCCCAACGATGGGAAGGCTTTTCCAAAGGTTCCCCAGGGGTCATTCTTTAGGACCTGTGTAACAATGTAAACGTCTGACAAGTCTTAGTACATGGTGTAGCAACGGGAGAGCCTTTGTACAAAGCACAGGCACATGGAGTACGACAGTTGCATCCTCTGTGGGTCAGTATCAAACTAGCCATACACTGTGTACATTTTGTCTGGTTCTTGAGGAAGTCAAAAGAGTTAAACTTTGTCCAAAAAGCAGCTGCATCCAATCAGTTGCAGCCACTGATCTGGTATTTTGACAGCTGGCAGGAGCAGTCTGCTAAATTACAATAGGCACAGTGGAAAATGTGTCCATCTGCACTGTATAGGTGGATAGAGGAATCTGCGTATGGCCAACTTGAGTCCACAAAGTAGATGCTGAGCCTGGATGATGTATGAAAAAAAATTGGGTTGACCTTTTGGTGCTTTCAATGGTGCTGTGATCTCTTTGAGAAGTATAACAGTAAAGAGGCGAGCGAGCGACCAGATATGATTATTGCACCACATCATTTAAAATTGCAGATATTCAATAGAGAAAATGGGACTTTCAGGGTGCATGAACATGAATACCAAACCTATTAAAAAGTTATATAATTTTTATTTCAGATTTTAAAAAACAAACAAAAAAAGAACAAATTCAGAAACATAAAAACAATTCCAGTACTAAGAGTGGAACTGAAATCCAAACGATTATATAATTGTAGGTACTCCCTACATGTTTCGCCCTCACAGGCTTCTTCAAAAATCTACCCTGAAGCAGCCCATGAGGGCGAAACATGTAGGGAGTGACTACAATTATATAATCAAGTTTGAATCTCAGTTCCACTCTTAGTACTGAAATTATGTTTCTGAATTTTTTGTTTTTTTAAAAATACAAAAGAAAAATTATATAACTTTTTAATATGTTTGGTATTCATGTTCATGCACCCTTAATGTCCCATCTTTGAAAAGTAACAAAAGTGTTCTTCCCATCTACTCCTTGTTTAATTATCAATTTTGTGTGTTTGTCTATCCGAATCTGTTTTGTGTAGAGCTGGGTATAAAGTGTATCTGAGAATTCACAAAGCTGGACTGTATAACTTGTGACACAAAGCTGCTGAGAAGTTACAAATCCCAGCATGCCCCATCACCCAGGCCATAGCTGATGTACCTAAAAGGATTCAAACTGATATATAAAAAAAAAAAAATCAACAGATCTACAAAACGTAAGCTTAATGACAGCATTGTGTAAAAATGGACCATTAACAGAGGCTCTTTGTGCACAAACCATCACATGAGTAGTGATCTTCAAAAGTCAGCGCTATCATACTGTACCTAGGGGGGAGGGAAACAGTCCCAAAAATAGAGAAACTGGATGAGAAACTGCACTTCTGGCATTATAATAATATAAGTAACTGGGAAACCAAGGACATGAAACCACATGATTTCGTGCAAAGCAGCTAAATACCATGAGAGAATTTTAAGAAATAAGAAAATGGGGAGAGGGATAATGGGAACAGAAAGAGAAACAGGAAAGCACAGGCAATGTAAATGTAACTAGTGGTGCACCGAAATGAAAATTCTGGTGCCGAAACCAAAAACTCAAAAATGCACTTGGCCGAAACCGAAATGTGCAGATTTTAAAAATGAATATATATATTTTTTGGAAAAAAAAATACACTTTGATTAAAAAGACAATATACCCCAATTTTTTTGTAAAATATGAAAAAGGATGTTACTGCGAGTAAATAGTAAATACCCAACTTGTCACCCTTTAAAATTGCGCACGCATATGGAATGGTGTGAAACTGCGGTACTTAAAAATCTCAATAGGTGATGCTTTAAACATTTCTGCAGGCTAGCAGTGTAAAGTTACAGAGGAGGTCTAGTACGAGAATTATTGCTCTTGCTCTGATGTTTGAGGTGATACTTCACATGTGTGGTTTGAACACCATTTGCATATGTGGGCATGGCCTACATATGCATTAACCACTATGTGCAAGCACAGGGGACGGTGACACTTTAAACTTTTTTAAAATAATGCATTTAACCTCCCTGGCGGTATTCCCGAGTGTAGCTCGGGGTAAAGTTTCAGCACCACAAGCGATAACCCCGAGCTACACTCAGGAATACCCTGCAACGCTGATCCGGGATCTCTTCTTCACTTACCTTGTCCTGCGCTCCCGCGATGTCCCTCCTGCAGTGTCCTTGGCAATGTAATCCGGCGGCATCTGTCATCTGGGTTCCGTCCCCTGCGACGTCGGGATGTACGGGGACGGAACGACGGGAAATTTGAAAATGTCAAAAAGTGACATTCACTAAATACACTGAAATCTGATAGTATTACATTACTGTATCAAACCATTTCACATACATTTTGTCCCGAGTGCTTTGTCCTGTGCCCTGCCTGCATTTTTACTGTTCTTTCTGCCTGGAAACTGAGAAAAGTCCATGGCGTCCAAAAAGTGTCCCTTTAGGTCAAAAGCGGTTTTATACCAGCTAGAGAACAGCGATAGTAATTTAGAACTATTTGCAGAATTGAGTGATAATGATTCATGGGGAAATTCGTCCTTAGACACTGAAAACGATTCTGCGACTTTGCTCAGTGATGTGCGAACTTGGCGCTATATTTCAAATTTCAGTGTTTTTGGTTTGATTATATTATTGAATTAAATGTATTATTATTTTTTATGATTATTTATTAAATTATAATTTATGATTTCGTGTTTCAAGTTTTATCCTACCCGGGATGTTTACTAGACTCTTGTTCGGACAGATTTCAGTGAGTTATTCCTAAAAATTATAGGTCTACAATAAAAAAAATATATATTTCAACGCAAAAAAATGTACCGCTTTAAGTACAGAAATATGGACATAATCAGACCGCTAGGGAGGTTAATGTGTTGTTTTTTGGGGGTTTTTTTTTGCACTGTTCCTTTAAAAAAAAAAATGTAATCACTCTTATTCTTATCACAAGGCAAGCAGGTCCTCTTTATGGAGAGATATGGGGTCAATATGACTCCATATCTCTCCTCTGCAATGTAAAGCATTGTATCAAAAAAAAAAAAAAAAAAGCATTGATCTAGTGCTTTAAAAAAAAAAAATGGCCGAAACCAGAAGTGACATCGCTCCAGTCCTCCAAGGGCATAGAGATGTGTGGCAGCCATGTTTCCTTCACACATTCTCTATGCCCAGGGCCGGGATCGATGGTTTCTCAGGTAAGGCTGAACCAGTGCCGTCCTCACCCAACCCGATTCTTCAGTCGTCTTCGGGTACCGGCTTCACAGCATATTTCCTACTGCGCTTTGTAAATAGTCCAGAAAACTTCTGGGACACATCAGAAGTCCCACAGTTCCCAGGGGGGGAGGCGGAGGGCGCAGACTTTTCGCACAGATTGTAGGAGTTCCATCCTCCTCCCCCCAAAAAGTGCCAAATGTGGCAGTGAAGGGGGGAGGATGCAAACAAGCGTAACTTCCCCTTTTGGGTGAAGTTCCGCTTTAAGAACATATTTTCTGATTGTGGAACTTGTCTTCTTTGTCAAGTAACAATATATTATACACATATAGGAGGATAAGAGAGAGAGAGGGAAAGGCTGTGAATTATGTACAGGAACCAATGCAATAAAAACAATGCATTTCCCAGCAGAGGGAAACTATGACAATCAAAACAGAGAGGAAAAAAAAAAAAAAAGTCTTCTAACCTTTGAGAGAGGGGAAGCATGATTTCCGCTGTCTATCCTCCCTTCTCCCAACGTTTACATCTGACAAGTAGCAATCAACAATTTTACAATCTGATTATACAATCTCTGTACAATCTTTTTTTACAGTTACCAAATCTATTTAACACATGGGCCTACCCATACAACTCATTCAATTCTTATTTAATAATAAAGCGCTGAGCAATCTGTTGGTGCTATATAAATCCTGTATAATAATAATAATAAGGCCCTTGTTTTAAATAGCGATTTTTAAAACTAAAAGAAGATTGTGCAATCAGATTATAACATGCATGGCCAGCTTAAATAGAACAGGCACTAGATCTCCGTCCCAATCTGGTTATAACAGTTCATATTGGCTGAAGTGGAGATACCAGGGCTGTGGAGTTGGAAAAAATTTTGGGTACCTGGAGTCGGAGTCGGCAAACAATGCTCCGACTCCAACTCCGATTAAATTTAGATTGGAATTTAAAAAAAAAAGCAAGTTTAAATGTCCCAATTCACCAAAAGTTATAATTAATGACTTCTCTACTGTAAGAATAAAGACCAATGCATGCAGTGCCTCACGTAACCGCAAAACGAACACGTTAAGTGACCGTGAAGAAGCATGCTTTTCATGTGCTTCACTATATGGCACGCAACGCACAATTAGGAGCGGCAAACAACCAAATAATGTGGTTTGTATTTTTGGACTGGTAAAGTTCCTGTTCCTGATGTTTATGCCTGCTGCTACTATCCAGCCACTTGATTAATTAATAATAAAAAATAATAAAACTTGTTGTTTTCATTGTGTTTGTCTTTTGCTTAACCATTTCAATACCGTGCAATTTTACACCTTCCTGCCCAGGCCAGTTTTCAGGTTTCAGCGCTCTCACACTTTGAATGACAATTGCGCGGTCATACAACATTGTACCCAAACTAAAATTTGATCATTTTCTTCACACAACTAGAGCTTTCTTTTGGTGGTATTTAATCACCGCTGGGGTTTTTATTTTTTGCTAAATTAACAAAAAAAGACCAAAAATTTTGAAAAAAAAAACCACATTTTTCTTTGTTTCTGTTATAAAAGTTTACAAATAAATAATTGTTCTTCATAAATTTAGGCCGAGATGTATTCTGCTACATGTCTTTGGTGAAAATAACCCAAATTAGGATGTATTTTTTAGTTTGTAGGAAAGTTATAGAGTTCACAAACTATGGTATAGATCTGAATATTGATCAATCCTGAAGTACTGACAGCCAATCTAATATTCTTGAGGTCCAAGAATGTCAGAACAGTACAGATATCCCCCAAATGACCCCTTTTTGCAGAGTAGACAGTCCGACGTACTTCATAAGAGGCATGGCGAGTTTTTTGAAGTTGTATTTTTTTTGTCATAATTTTTCGGAAAATGAAAAAATTAAAAAAATTATTTTCACAATTTTTTTTACATACTGTCACCAGTGCAGTACAGCGTCATCATATAACTGGCATGGCGGTGAACAGCGACACTGACTGGTGACAGTATGAAAAAAATATATATATATTTTTTTTTTTATTATTTTTTTTATTTTTTTATTATATTTAATTTTTTATTACATTTTTTTTTAAGATTTTTTTTCATATTTTACTATGACCAAAATAGTACAATGTTACCATAGTAACACTGTACTACTTTGGGGAAGTGATCAGTATTTTTTTTTTTTTTTACACAATTTGCTTATAGCAAAGAATTACTTTGCTATAAGCAAGCATTTACCTGAATGAAATTGATTCATTCAGCTTTTTTTTTTTTTTTTTTTTTTTTTTTTTTTTTCGTGCTTACCTGTGATTTGGTCACAGCTAATCACACGACATGTGCATGTGATTAGCTGTGACCATTCACAGCTAGGCACTAGTATACAATGGATGGCATCATGAATGAAGCCATCCATTGTATACAACTGTCATGTGACCTGCTGTGATTGGTCACAGCAGGTCACATGGTACCGGCAACGGGAGCCGGTACTCGGATCTGTCATCGGCCATGTCCGAGGTGCACGGGCGGTGACAGATCGCACTGCTGCGTCGCTCTGCAACCGTGCAAACCGCGCATGTGCGGGAGCACGCCAAACGGCGTGCACCCGGAAAGCTGCAGCGCTTTTCAAGCCGCCAAACGGCCATTGGCCGGGCGGCTAATGGTTAAACTGTTCAATACAGTAGACTGTTGGCTTCCCAGCCAGTAGTCCTGTGGTAATGACATGTATGTTGCCTTTCTTTCCTTCAAGGAATGTATAAAATACATTCGCATATTAATACAGAGGAGTCGGAGTCAGGGGGGGGGGGGTCGGAGTCGGAGGTACACAAAACTGAGGAGTCGGAACATTTATCTACCGACTCCACAGCCCTGGGAGATACCACAATAAAAACAGGATTTTGTCTCTTCCAATGCCACCAAAGCTCAACGTGCACTGGGGAGAGAGCCCTGTAGTAACATTAGTGTCCATTCACCATTCCCTCTACCTATATAATCTGTCTGACAGCATAAAGTCCCCCAGTCTTGTATCTACTTAATACGATAAGCTACCTCACAAGTTACCAACTACAACTTCTGCAGCAAACTCATCCACCATCTACTAAACTAGGAAACTGAAAAGCCAGATGATATAACCTGGAAAAGGGAAAAATTTACCATTCCCCTAAGAGCAGGGAGGACAAATTTCTATGATACACATTCAAATTAGAAACATTTTTTTTTAAATTGGAATAGACATCTAGGTATCTATTCCCCACCAATGTACATGTTATTACCTTGCAAACCATCGAAACCGGTGAGAAATGATGAGTTTTCACTCTGGAAAGTCATTAAAAGCCTAGTCTAGTGCTGGTGAAGTTGAGAGCTAGCTATTATTTACTAGATTACAGCCACAAGCAGTCAGCGCATTCATTTTTATTACATTAACACTCCTACATATTGTGATATGACACAGAGAGGATGGAATCATGTGTATTGGAAGTTGTGTTACTCGGAAAAGGAAGTGGTCTTGCCCCTTTGGCGAATAGGTACAAGCTAGGTGAATGAATATAAGCACATAGGGAAATAGGGAGATCAGCCATGCCGCTGCAATATGCAGCCACAACATGTGAGCCCATCATTACAAGGCAGGGTAAACAAATGGCACAGGGGATATCAATTACTCAACTATTAACCCACCCCCGCATGCCAGGGTGCTAGGTGTAATCCTGGACTCTCCTCTTGGCCCCAAATCTAATCACTTTCCAAAGCTTGCCACCTCAACCTCCGCAACATCCCCAAAATATGCCCCTTCCTACCCAACGAAACCACAAAACTCCTAATCCACTCTCTGGTTATCTCTCGTCTTGACTACTGCAACTCCCTCCTCATTGGCTTACCTTTACACAGGCTATCCCCCCTCCAGTCCATCATGAATACTGCTGCCAGACTCATCCAACTTACCAACCATTCAGTGTCTGCTGCACCTCTCTGCCATTCCCTCCATTGGCTGCCACTCAGCCAATAAATTAAATTCAAAACACTAACAACAAGTTACAAGTCTGCCCCCAGCTACATCACTAACCTGGTCTCAAAGTACCAACCAAATCGTTCTCTTCATTCCTCCCAAGACCTCCTGTTCTCTTAGCTCCCTCATCACCTCATTCCATGCTCACCTCCAGAACTTC